AGGTGAATGCTAATTCCAAACCTTTGTCTCCAGCCTGTCCGTCCGGTCATTTTAAAGCCGAGTCAGGACCCGTTGGCTGCAGCTCCTGTCCAGCCAATAGCAACACAAGAATCCCAGGCTCCGCCTACTGCCCGTGTCACTCTGGTTTCTATCGAGCCGACTCGGACCCGCCGCACAGTGCCTGCACGCGTGAGTCCCTCTGCTCTTCATTTATTTATTATTTTAATTTCTGACAACACTGAAACCTCTTGTCCTACATTTCCCATCATGCAGCTGGAGAGTGTCTTTCACTAGGACCTCTAGTCTCGACAGACCACTTTAAACTCTGTAAACTCTGGACCACAAACACACACACACAGACACACACACACACACGCACACGCACACACACACACACACACACGCCTCTTTAAGTACCCCGACCCGCCCCTTTAACTACATCCCCTCAGGCAACAGCAATTAGGCAAATTAATAGGCTCATTACCTCTTTGTGTTTGTGTCGGTGTGTGTGTAACGTCGAGGTCCTACAGGTAACGACTGCACACACACACACACACACACAGGTGTCAGGTTACTCTGATGTGGAGGCAGGAAGCTCTTATCTCTCAGCTCCTCCATCAGAAGAAAAACTCATTACGCAGGAATGAAAACAGGCCGCCTGACTCTCAGGTATCCCGTAGCAATCAGCCTGCCTGAGAGTCGCTGCTCAGGGAAAAAAACGTAGAGATGTCGAGCGTCTGACAGGTGATACTCAGCAGGCGCTGACCTGTGACCTTTGACCTCCGCAGAGCCTCCCTCGGCTCCTCGCTCCCCGGTGAGTCAGCTCAATGACACCATGGTGACTTTGGAGTGGAGCGAGCCACTGGACCGCGGAGGACGACATGACCTGACCTACAGAGTCCTGTGCTCCACCTGCGGGCCCGCCACCGCCACCAAGGTACGCCGCCGCCATCTCTGTCACATTAGCACCAGTCTGAGCTGTCAGATCTGACTCCGCCCCTTTTCTTCTTTCTCCTCTTCAGGTCACTTCCTGCTTCCCATGTGGCGACAGCGTTCTTTACCGGCCGGCACAGAACGGCCTGACCCAGCGGCGTGTCGTCGTCTGGGGGCTCCGCCCACAAACAAAGTACATCTTCACCATCCAGTCGCTAAATGGCGTGTCTGCACTCAGCCACTCAGAGCCAGCCTCCAGCAAGCTCAACATCACCACCAGCAGAGACGGTACAGACTACATTACCCAGAATTCTTGTCTTTCACAGACGTAATGATCAGTGAATGACTCTGTGTGTCTGCAGTTCCTCCTCCAGTATCTGGTCTGAGGAGGGTGGAGGCCTCAGAGAGCAGCCTGTCTTTAGAGTGGAGCGTCCCAGTTGTTCACAACCAGTACAAGATCCTGGACTACGAGCTGCGCTACAGCCCTGAGGTACACACACATGCTCGTTAACGTGCATTACTAGGACCTCTATGCTACAGCCCTGAGGTACACACATGCTCGTTAATGTGCATTACTAGGACCTCTATGCTACAGCCCTGAGGTATACACACATGCTCGTTTACGTGCATTACCAGGACCTCTATGGTACAGCCCTGAGGTACACACACATGCTCGTTAACGTGCATTACTAGGACCTCTATGCTAAGCTAACCCTGAAGTTAACCTGAGTCCATGTGAACTTCACACCAAAGTCTTTTTTACGTTCTGTCTTTGTCTTTTAGTGTATAAGTATAAGCGCAGATTAGATACGTTGTTTTTCTGTGTCCTGTGAGGACTGTTGTTAATG